GCCTTTTGCGGGACGCCCTATGATCTACCACACTAATTGATGCCATACCATTATTCTGAGTCCTAAAGAAGCCAGAATTGGCAACACGCGGTGACCCTCATCCAGAAGCCTAAATATTCTGCATCTGTATTCATTAGTCCACTGTATTTACCATTAATACTTCCAGTATCTTGGGTAAGGTACTGTCTGTAAATCCAGCAAAAGCTGTTGGTATCATTTATGGGCATTTTTATGCTTCTATTTTATTCATAATTTAACATATATAATAATGTGTATTTTGTTTTATATATTTGTGTGGTCTCCCATATTGAGCCAGTAAAGTCCGGTCTTTCTATTTTGGGTTCACTTTTCTGTACCCATTCTATTTTCTCATGTTTCGGATGTTTGTGAAAGTCAAACCTTTTTCCATGCTTAGCCAGTGTTGCAGTTTCTGAACTGAAAAGCCATTGTCAGTACCATATTACCCCTTTCAGGCTGCAAAACTTTCAGAACAATTTTTGTTGTCTCTGGTTACTGAAAGCTTGTTTTCTGAATCTTTTTTCAGAAAGCATGATCTTTGACTTTTTTGGGGGGTTACTAAAACTGGAGCATGCAAAATCTGTTGCAGCTCTATATAGAAACCAATCAACTTCCAGTTTTATTGTCAAAGCTTAACTGAACAAACTAAAGCTAGAAGCTGATTGGCTACTATGCACAATTGCACCAGATTCTGAGTGCTCCAGTTTTAGTAAATATCCCCTATTTATCAAAAAACTATTTCCATAAAACACTTTTTGCACTTGTTTTCATCCTATGTTGTACTATACATCACTACTTCTGATCTCTGCTGGTTTTTAAGCCATTTCCTGTTCACATTCACTTGCTCTAGTGGATTTCATTGCCCTGTATCATTGTGTGGGTATGGCTTAAGGCACCCACACAAATGTCTCACTAATGTCCAACTAAGCAGGTGGAGGCCTCAGTCATGAGAAAACTGCATTGAAGCAGAACACAAAAATTAGAAGCGAGCATGTAATGGCACAATTAACTCTTTATGTCTCATCCACTTCACAGCGGCGTTACACGTGACTAACTGTACTCAAACTTTTTTACATGGTGCAGAACTTTTGAGGGAATATTGCAGAGTTCTCCAGCCTAGCTTTGATGCCACCTCACTCCCAGTGACATGTTACTACAATTAAGCATAAACTAGAAAATAGAGGCTCTGTGACGTGGGTCCAGTCCTGAGTATGGGGCACCTGCCACTAGGAAGGGATTTGGAACTTAGGAACCATCTTGCTATGAGAGTGCTCCGTTATCCTTGCCAAGTCACGCTGTACACTCTCTGGCTGGCAGCTTTAGCACCAAAAACTCCATTGATTACTCAGCAATGGCAATTAGGTCTTTCACTTGCAGCATTCTCCACTTCTAAACCCTGTCAGTGCTCATCCTCTGATATAAGCCTTGTTCTCTTATAAGCCTTATGTGTACCCCTTTGTAGGAACATCAGACCAGGCATTTAGTAACTTTGAGAACACTTACCTAAGCTTCTTGCATGCACAGGATTAATATGACACAGTCTCTCACAGTTCATTGCATACACAGTTCTAGCTTAACATAACTTAGGCTGTTCATGTCATACCTCTATGTAAAGGAGAGTCCCTCCACGTAGATGCATATCCTGCTTTTGGTACCCCGACTGGGTGGGCCTTATGCCTCTGACTGGGTTACATCTTGCAGCATCCCTCCCTGACTGTTCCCTTGTAGAAGGCCTTAAAAGCCCCAATAGACTCCTTCCCCTTGTATTTATAGCCCACCACAAGGGGGTAGAGCCACGAACACCTTGTGGTAGGCCCATATAACCCCTTACTAGCTCCTGGGCAGCCTACTAACTACTTAACAAAGTACTTGCACACAACACAATGAAATAGGCACCAAAGCAGGTTTGCCAGTACATGTCTCACATTCTCCTTGAACAGTACAGTAAAAATAAAGTAAACATTATTTTACACCACACACCTGTAAGCACATGCTTACAACTGGCACTGCCTGAGGGCCTGGGATCAGTAAGGGCCCCATGAGATTCCCCTGGTAGCTTTCATAGGCTTTTTTGGGTGTGGTTTGAGTGTGGGCGAGGACACAGGGCCCCATGATCCCCTGTTGCCCGGGGCCCCATGAGCTTGGACTGTATGTACTGACCTTGTTCGGGACAAAGAAAGAATAAAGGAAGGAGAGAGAGGCAATAAGAGTACAGCAGGAATGCTTTTGATCCATAGGAGAGCTGAACTTTAGAATATCCACAGGGAGATACAGCAAGTCATCTTCTCTCTCATGTGCAGCCTTTTCTCCAGGGAAGACATGCATGTTGCACCATTGTTTTTTACTTTTTACTTGCATGAAAAGAATGTTCACGTAAAAAAAGATGAGAGGACTGACAAGGTAACATCTGGCTTAGCAAGATTGATTGCTTATTTGCATAGCAAGTGATGGGTGCTTCAGGCTCTAAGCAGCTTCATTAGAAAGTTACTTGCATTGGCAAGAAATTTGCAGATATTTAACTCTTCTAGTCCTTAATCTTTACAGCTATGTCATCTATGAGACCTGTACTTTTTCAGCTCCCATTGGCATTCACCTTGCCAGTATACCTTCTATTTCTTAGGTCATTCTGATACTGTATGTAGTATGTCTGCCATTAGTTTTTCAAATGTCCCTTATTAACAGGAACATCTTTTTAGTAAAGTCACATTTTCTCTTTCACCAGTTTTCCTGTAGTGGAAAACACATCAGTGGAATATGTTAAAAAAAAAATCCTGTACAGAATTGCTGTTATTATGTCTATTACATTTTTGTTACACAATGAATCAATTGCTCACCCCTTTTAAAGGCGAACTACACAAAACTCAAAAATTCTCCCTTGCAGTGGGGATGCACCTGCACTACAAGCATTACCTGCTTCTTTGGGTCTAGGGGACTTGGTAAAGTACTTTTATTTTCCTTGTCTCCAGCTCCTGCAGGCTCCTCTGTGCTTCTAGATTGACAGATCCCCCTAACCTCTTCACCCCAAAGCTCCAGTGGTCTCAGGTTTCTGAAGTCACAGAAATCAATGCAGGTAGCCCTGCATTGCATGTACGCTGAGGGAAAATTCATGGGGAGCTCCATCTTCCAGGGAGTGGAGGATCAGTTAAAAATATGTGCTATTTTCATCCCCCAAAGATGTATGAACACTTAACCTTTGCAGTAAGACACAGCCTCACTGCAGTGGAAGGTTTTTAAGTTTACTGGAACTGGGCTTTAATGTATTACCTTACTTTGGAGAAGGAATCTGCAAACCTAGTGCACCACTCACACCATCCCCTTACTTTCTGCTAAGAACTCCTTCCATAACTTTGTTTAGTCTTTACTACTTATGTACATAGTGATCCATCTTCTCAAACTGTTATATTCATTCTGCACACCTTTCTTCTTCCAGATGCAGGAAACCATAGATATGATCAAACCAAGCCAGATCAGTGATCAACAGTTTCTCCACTGCCTTTAAAAGTACACCTTAGTTAAAATACCACGGGAGAGTTAAAAGCAATGTTCTATCATAAATAAACAAATAAATGTAATGCTGTGCTGCTAATGTAAAGTATAAGTACCAAATCATCAAACGAATATATAGGAAAAACATCAAATGTACGTAAAAATGTGCATAAATCATATACATTGATAAAACACAACATCTATAAAAGCATGTCTGTGCAATTTGAATTAGAGCTGTGAAAGTGGATAAAGTTTTACATCAACTTCCTTCACAATTCTGTAGGATTTCTCATGTGCTCATATAACCATCACCATCTCTTAGAGTGCTGCAAAACATGCAGGTTGTGCCACCTCAGTGTTCACAGAACTCTCGCTTTAAGAAAATTTGAATGTGCTTATAATGATTAACAAATTGGGGTTCCTCCACTCCCCTGGTCCTCCACCATTTTAGAACCACTGGTGGCCAGCATTCATTTCTCCTGATCTCTGGACCCAGTTGAAAAAACGGTCCCTGTAAGGGTCGCTTGGAATCAGATCTCCTACAATGTTTACATGCCTTAAAACGCCATTAAAATTATTTGGAGCCAAAAAACGCAGACCGCACTTCCGTGTACATCAGTTCCGGTTCACATCTGCCTAAGGCCACACCCTATGCATTACGTCATGCCAGCGTGACCTCTTTAGGGGTGAAGAAGTACAACCTCCCAGGTCTAAAGCCTGGTACACACAGGCTGAATATTGTCCAGTACTGGCCGGCTCAACAGATATCTGGCATTTGGCCCGTGTGTACAGCAGCCTCTCCAACAGAAGCCGGCAAAATGTTTGGCTTCTGTCAAAGAGGCATGCTAGAAAAACATCTATCCAATGGCTGTGAGCGCTGACTGTTGTGTTCTGATGGGGGGGGGGTCCCCCTATCAGAACACAATAGCTCAACTGGAAGATTTCTGTAGTAACATTGCATAGTTATAAAGCGCTGAGCAAACTGTTGGCACTATATAAATCCTGTATAATAATAATAATAGTCAGTACAGAGACTTCCTTACTCATAGTGTGTGTCACGGAGTGCCCGTGCCTTCCCCACCCCCCTTTGCCTGCTGTTCCTCGGCCATATCCCTCCACCCCTCCCTCCCCCCTTGCACATTCCTCTGCCCTTGTAGCTTCCTTGTAGCCGAGGCAACCTGGCAGCGTCCCGCACGGCTTTTAAAAAGACTGGCACAGGAAGCAGCCCTCCTCTTTGTTCCTGTGCACGCTGCTGGAATCATCTATCTCCCTGAAAGCCGCTGGGAGGCTCAGATGAAGGGGACCGAGCCTCCCCAGCCATCCCCGCTGCGCACTCTGCAGATCCCCAAAGGTCAGGACTCTAGCCCTCTCCAATACTCCAGGGTTGGGAGTACCCGCTGCCCTCCGCTGAATGTCCCAGGGTGGGAGTCTCCGCAGCTCTGCATGAGCCCCCTACTCAAAAGTCAGACCCACAACTGAGGCCCCAAGCTAAGGGGAGACTGCCTGACCCTACCCGAGACCCTCCGGCTGAGGGGACACTGCCTGCCAGCTACCTGAGACCCCCCAAGCTAAGGGGAGACCGCCTGACCCTACCTGAGACCCTCCAGCTGAGGGGTGAGTTGCCTGCCTGTTGCCCGAGACCCCAGTCCAGGGGTAGGTTGCCCGCCTGTTGCCCGAGACCCCTGCCTAGGGGTAGATTGCTGCCTGTTGCCCGAGACCCCTGTCCAGGGGTAAGTTGCCCGCCTGTTGCCCGAGACCCCTGCCCAGGGGTAGATTGCCGCCTGTTGCCCAAGACCCCTGTCCAGGGGTAGGTTGCCCGTCTGTTGCCTGAAACCCCGGTCTGCTGTGCAGTCATGAAGGGAGCCCAGCTGAGGCGGGACCCTCGTGACAAATGCCTGCCTGTTGCCCAAGACCCCAGTCCAGGGGTAGGTTGCCACCTGTTACCCGAGACCACTACCCATGGGTTAGTTGCCACCTGTTGCTCGAGACCCCAGTCCAGGGGTAGGTTGCTACCTGTTGCCTGAGACCCCAGGCCAGGGGTAGGTTGCCCGCCTGTTGCCCGAAGCCCCGGTCCACTGTGCAGTCACGGAGAGAGCCCAGCTGAGGTGGGACCCTCATGACGAACGCCTGCCTGTTGCCCGAGACCCCAGTCCAGGGGTAGGTGGCCACCTGTTTCCTGAGACCCCAGTCCAGGGGTAGGTTGCCGCCTGTTGCTTGAGACCCAAGTCAGGGGTAGGTTGCCCACCTGTTGCCCGAGACCCCAGTCCAGGGGTAGGTTGCCTGCCTGTTGCCCGAGACCCCAGTCCAGGGGTAGGTTGCCGCCTGTTGCCCGAGACCCCTGTCCAGGGGTAGGTTGCCGCCTGTTGCCTGGGACCCCAGTCCAGGGGTAGGTTGCTGCCTGTTGCCCGAGACCCCAGTCCAGGAGTGGATTGCCTGCCTGTCGCCAAAGACCTCAGCCTAGAGGGGAGATTGTTCGCCTGCTGCCGAAGACCCCAGTTCAAAGAGGGAGAAGACCGCACAAGCCAGCCTGCCTGAGACCCCTCGCCTGTCCCGGACCTCCAACAGGTATCTGTGTCTTACTTTCTTATCCCTGGGGGACCAGACACCCTGTTGGATCCGTGGGCATATGCTTTCCGCTGTTTTACCTGAACTGCTTCTGCGTCGATCCCCGTTTTACCTGAACTGTTCCTGTGATGACCCTTGCCCCTTGTGGGATTACCATTTGCCACAGAGACTCTTTATTCGCCCTTGGTGCTGAACTAAAAGTATCTTAGCCCCTCCTTACTGTCACCCCCCTATTGGCCAGACCACCCGTGCCAGGACTCGTCCCTAGTTTGCGCACAGATCACCCTTCCTGCCATTTCCCCATTGAGTGACTGTCATTTTGTTGTCTCAATAAAGCTTTGTGTGTTCTCCATCCTCTTTGTGTGTTCTGTCCTGCCTACACTTCCGTCACAGTGTGTACTTCCTCAAATTAAACCTTGCCAAAACCTAACTCCTAGTTTTTCCCCCAGCCCGTGCCCCCCCCCCCCGACCTCTCCATCATGACCAACAACGTCACCATCAGCCCCACCCCGCAAGCCAGAGTATTAGGCGTCGTTCTAGACTCCAATCTGTCTTTCCAGCCCCAGATCCAATCGCTGACAAATTTATGCAGACTCCACCTCCGCAACATCCAAAATACGTCTGTTCCTAACCCCAGACACTACTAAACAACTCATTCACTCCCTTATCATATCACGACTCGACTACTGTAACTCCCTCCTCGCTGGCCTACCCCAACACAGACTATCCCTGCTTCAGTCTATCCTGAATTCTGCGGCCAGACTCATCCACCTTACCAACCGCACCATATCCGCCACCCCCCTCTGCCAATCCCTCCACTGGCTTCCGATTGGCCAACGCATAAAATTCAAAATATTAACATTGGCGTACAAAGCTGTTCATAACACTGCCCCAAACTACATCACCGACCTGATATCCATCTACCACCCAAAACGCACTCTCCGCTCCTCACAAGACCTCCTACTCTCTAGTTCCCTGGTCTCCTCCTCCCATGCCTGTCTCCAGGACTTCTCCAGGGCTTCCCCCATCCTCTTGAACTCTCTACCCCAATCCATCAAACTGTCACCTACCCTCCTCTCCTTTAGGCGCACCCTGAAACCCATCTCTTCAAAGAAGCCTACCCGCCCTCACCTAATTGCCATTCTCCCCCCGCTCTTCCCACAACTCCATCCCCCACAGCTATTTCCTCCTGTACCACTCTCCCCTCCCTCCTAGATTGTAAGCTCTAAGGAGCAGGGCCCTCGAACCCCTCGTGTATTGAATTGTATTGTTACTGTACTGTCTCGTGTACTGTCTCCCATTATAATGTACAGCGCTGAGCGAACTGTTGGCGCTATATAAATACTGTATAATAATAATACTGGGCATTAGACTGGCCATACATTATACAATTTTCTTGTACAATTTTCTTTTAGATTTACCAAAACCATATAATATGAGGACCTAAACACTTTCAATTTGTATGCAATCAGGCAGGCCCTTGCACTACATAGTTAAATCTGGGGAGGTACTGTAAATTTAAAGGAATCCGAACAAGAACATTGTATAATGTATGGCCAGCTTTATCATGCTATGTAAAGGAATACTGTATGCTACTATAAAGACAGATTCAGCAACCTATATTATCTGTCTTAAAAAGTACTGATGTGTACTGAATTGTACATTGTACATATACAGTGTTTCAAATATACAGTACACTGTATATATGACTAAATTATTATTTTTTAATATCCCTGTGATCCTGCTATATTTTGAAAAGCATATACTAATTAATTACATTTTCAGTTTTAAGTGTAGACTGTGACCACTTTTTTATTAAAATATCATGTAACTGTGGATGTGTTCAGCATTACACCATGCCTTCAAATCCGATGCACTATGGTTTATACTGTTGATTAAAAAGGAATTTTGTTAGCTCCCTGCTACTATATTTGTAATATTCTCAGTGATCTGATTTCAAGATCTCTAGTGGGAAATACAAATAAATGTTTTGTTAACATACATGGCTCTGCATTCTATCCAGTGAAAGCATCTAACACAGAAAGGTTGTATAAAAAGTTTTGTCTCCACATTTTCATATATGCTCAGAGCTCATTCTAAAGTTAAGGTCATGGGATGGCACATCTCTGAAAAGGAAATTACCATTTTTCCCTTTTTACAGGCTGGAAGTGAAGGACAGAAGATATGTTTCTGATAATAATATAAACTCTGTTGTTAATTTCCAAAATTCCAAATATAAGACTGCCACTGACACCAATGATTGGGGCACTATTCCACCCACTGACACTACTGATGTGGCACTATATCTCCCACTGAGACCAACGATGGGACTCTATTCCTCCCACTGACACCAATGATTGGGCACTAGTCCTCCCACTGATACCAATGATGGGACACTATTCCTCCCACTGACACCAATGATGGGACACTATTCCTCCCACTGACACCAATGATGGGACACTGACACCAATTATGAAATTTTTTCTCCCATTTAGTAAACCAAGTCCACGGCATTTGATTGCTTGCTTTTATCCAGCCCTTAGGGCACTCCACTGATACAAGGCAGTATTCCCCCCACTGACATCAATTAAGGGGTACTATTCCTTCCACTGACACCAGTAATGTGGTACCATTCCTCCCACTGACACCAACAAATGGGCACTATTTCTCCCACTGATACCAACGATGGGGCACTATTCCTCCCACTGACACCAACAATGGGACACTGTTTGATTGAAGGATAGTAAACTGGCCCTTTGTTTCAAAAGTATGGAGACCACTGTTTTAGATAGATAGTTGTTTCCCATATAAGTTATGTCTTAGTAAATTTTACTTTATAGGTTTTGCTACCGTTTACAGTATCAGAAAAGAATTGCACATATAACTCTCCTGCTGATCTGCAAGTGGAAAGGCTTTGAAAGCTACTGTACCCCAACATTTGTTTACACTAGTTTCTGTTTTTACTGTTGACTGACACCCATTACCATAAACGGTTAGCTGAGAAGTGCACAAATCTGATGACCAGCGGGTGGCCACACTACAACATTGACCCATCAACTGCAAAGATTCAGGTCAAAATCAAATTCACTTCCACCTTGCACCTCCACTAATGTTCCTGCATATTGACAACTGAAGTTGCATCCCATTGGACCTTCAACACTAGCCAAGCTTCTTGGCATCCAAAAGTGCAAGTAATAACTTTCTGTATGGTAAAAAAAAAAATCCCACACAACTCCATGCCCATTTATAAATACCCTGTAAACATTTTTGGGTCACAATAGCATGATTTACTGGTTCTCCAAAGCTCATTTCAAGCTTATGGTGGTAGATTGCTTTTCAGAGGATGGTAAAAGGAGATTTTAAGGGGTTTAGGAGGTGGTGCTGCCACCTCTTAATGCCTGTTGCTTTTCTGGCATTTCATTTGACAACTTTGCGTTGTGGGACTGTGCTGCAACTGTGAGCCAAGTGTGGCACAGCCTATTCCTCTACATAGGAGAGTTAGACAGTCCTACCCTGTAATAGGAGACCCACACAGTCCTGTCAAACTCGGCATGTAGGTTTAACATTTCCATAGCAATGTGTACTCATCCAAGCAGCAACATGTCCTTGGTTGGTGGGGTGTAGTAAAAACACAGATCAACTGCCTGTTTAATATAGTATAAGTAAAAAGTGGCAAACTAATGAATTAAAATGATGAGCATAGCTCTAGACAAGCTTTTGGAAGTAGTTAGCTAAATATGAAATGTTGCATATAGATACTAGGTATCTATGTAATATTTTCATATGCAGCCAGAAGGTGGAGCTTTAGGCTTTTTTTCACGTATTTTTACAGATGGTCCTATCTGCTTTGCTGACAAAACTTCTTGCTTACAGGTTCAAGGTGATAATTACACATTTTAGTCAATGGAATCACTTCTCTCCCAGATGAATAGTGAGATCATTTCTGCTGTACTCTCTCTATGGAAAAACCATAATGATCTATTATGGGTATATATATAATTAACCACTTAAGGTCTGCCCTATAGCCATTTTACTGCTACAGGGCAGCACTACTGTGCAAAATCACAAAATTTTGCACTTCCACCTTAGGGGGGCATGTGCGTGTCATCGGTGGATCGCTTCTGCTGTATTAATGTCACTGGTTCCCACAAAGTGTCAGTTAGTGTAAAAAGGTCCGCCACAATATTGCAGTCCCGTTATAATTCGCTGATCGCCGCCATTACTAGTATTAAAAAAACCCAAAACATTCCAGTATATGTCCGAGAGTTTGTAGACGCTATAACGTTTGTGCAAACTAATTAATATACACGTATTGGGATTTTTTACCAAAAATATGTAGCAGGATACGTTTTGGGCTAAATTTATGAAAAAATTTGATTTTTAAAAAAAATTTCATTGGAAATGTTTTATAGCAGAAAATAAAAAATAATTTTTTTTCAAAATTGTCAGTTTTTTATGCGTTTATGACGCATAAAGTAAAAACGCAGAGGTGATCAAATACCACCAAAAGAAAGCTCTATTTGTGAGAAAACAAATGACAAATTTCATTTATGTGCAGTGTTGCATACATGCACAATTGTCAGTTAAAGTAGTATCACAAAAAATGGCCTGGTCAGAAAGGGGGGTAAATCTTCCAGAGGTCAAGTGGTTAAAAGCATATCAACTTAAATTTAAACACAATTGCTTCAAAGCCATTATACCCTTTAACAGGCAGTAACTTCTCCTGTAAAGCAAATTGCCAAAAGATGGCACTATATAGCATAAATGTATTTGTATTGGCAATTTACTCT